GGGGGGGGGGGGGGGGGGGGGGGCCGACCCCCCCTTAACCAACCAATCAATCAATCAATCAATCAATCAATTTTTTTTTATTTTTTTTTTCCCTACCACCCACCACCTGGCAGCCCCCGAACAAACTTTTTTTGTTTTGTTTTGTTTTACATTGTGGGGTAGCCCCTGACATGCAACCCCCCCCCCTCCCCTCAGATCCCATTTCCCACCCCGGGAAGGCCCCAAAAACGTGTCATACGGCCGTACGTACGGCCCGTATGAATGTCTGGGGGCCCGTACGTACGGCCGTCCGTACTCCCCGTATCTGTACGGGGAGACGCATAGTTTGTAATGCTACTTTTCGCTCTGCAAGAGAATATTCGGTATGGCTTGCAATGAATCGGTAGGTGCGTCTAAGTCTGAATTTCGTGGTGAATAACTAATGACAACCCGATGTCCGTGTCCTTCACGCTAATCACCCCTTGTTATTCGGTCAGAATGTCTGCAATCAGTCGATGGGTTTCATCGGGTACATGTTGAGGCACATGTATCTCGTAAGGTTGTTCGTGTATGTTGACCGTCACGTGCTTCGTGCCTACTCTATTGCTATTTCCCACAGGGGGAGCGGAGATGAAAGAATTATCTGATCGACAGGAGAACACCGTGGCGACCATTTGAGCGTCTTCTTCTCGGATGACCGCGTGTTGTTCTGGGTGACACCATCGATGATATCCTGCCAGCATGTTGGTCTCTCAGCGATCTTGATTCGATTTCGTAGGGTATAGAATCGTTGCGCGCAGGGGGTTCCGAAGCTTCGCTTTCGCACCCCTGCCGCAGTAGTCGCACGCAGTGCCGTCACCCTGAACGTGAACGGCACCGGTGTAGCGGACCTCGGGTTGGCCTGTGAGACCAGCCCCTTGGCCTGTTCTCACAGGCCTGTGTTGTATTCGGGGTAGGCCAGTCCAGGCCGGTACCTCTGTCGGTACCAGCCAGTCCTGTCCAGTCCCGTCATTCCGCTGGGGTATACCCCAGCCATTGTCTGTTTTCAGTCTCATTCTTCACTTGCACATTTTGGAGTACATGCGTTGGAGTCTTGCGTGGGGAGCTGCGTTGTGCCATCTCGCTCCCCCCCCTTCTTCCTTCATATCCATCTCTGTGTCACTAGCGGAGCACCACACCTGGTGGGTCCGCTACATTGGTATCGGAGCGGGAACGGTCCCCGCCCCCACCCACCACACCGCACAGCAGGGAAATACGGCAAAACCCGACAGTCGGGTTTTTGGCTTTTTCGGACGTTTTCGGGCGAAAAAGCGGGAAAAACAACGAAGAAAGGTGCTGCAGCAGAAGAGCTCCACGTGGCGGAAAAGGAAGCTGCATCACGACGCGTGCGCGCAAGCGCCAAGGCCAAGGCTGCCGCATGCGCGCGGCCGTACCCTTTGTTCATAACTATGTTTCTTCATCTGTTGTACAGGTCGGCTGTCTCCTTCATATGATGAACGGAGGAAGTCGAAGATGAGTATGCCGCAACTGTCCACAAGGGATATGAAAATTGAGAAAGCGTCGGGTGTGAGTGCTGAGAAAGTTAAGAAGTTGCATATGAGAGTTTGCAAGAGGTTTACTGTTTCTCCAGTTTCTCTACCTGAGCCGTACTTTGACAGAACGACGAGTAGAGGGGTTAAGATTTATAATGCTTTTAATACTAAAAGCAAAGAACTGGACGGCTTTGACAATTAGGGTATCGTTCTCATGGTCATGCATGTTGCTTGGTTGGTCTGTGCAGTAGACATGTGCGCACGGAGCATCGGAAGAAGTGAGGGAGAGTTGTTGAAGTTGTTGGACAACATTGTACACTGTCGCCTGACCCCTTCTATGGTTGTGGCTCGCCTACCGACGGAGAACATGGTTGTTAGGGTGAGGGACATAGAGACCTTGTTGGACAGAGGCGGTGAGCTGAACGACGAGGTCATCAACTTCTACTTAGCAGTGCTCGTTCGGGACTGTCGTACATCTTCTTTGAAAGTGTACAACTTTGTTTCTTTCCTCTTCACGAAATTGCTACTTCAGGGTTGTAAAGGTGTCAGAAGATGGACGAAAGATGTCAATCTTTTCGAACACAAGGTGCTACTCGTCCCCATTCACAAGGATAGTGAACACTGGCCTTTTTTGTCAGTGAACTTTGAAAAGGGTGTCGTACAGTTCGTCGATTCTTATTATAATGCAGTATGCGACGCAACGTTCGCTGCGACTGCATATAGAGCGGTCGCGCAGTACCTGAACGAAGAGGCAATGGACAGAGGGTTGCCCCAAGGCTATGATAACATGAGATTTCAAGTTCTCGCCAAAGGAGTGCCAAAGCAGGCTGACKGATCCAGCTGTGGGGTTTTCATGTTAATGTTTGCTTCCTATTWGGCGTGGGGACAAGATCCGCCTTTTCATTTCTCGAACATTCACATACCCGCTATTAGATGCAAGCTGGCGTCCATCATTTGTTCTGCAGTACCGCAGGTGTGTTGTCCGTGGTTGAGGAGTCGTATACCGTGAGTTTGCCCATGTGTTGTGCTTAGGTTCAGGATTCCTATACGTAGATGTGCAGGACCTTAGATGTGTAGCAATTTGTTATTTGCCTTTGTCGATAGTTGAGCGGGTTGGATTTTGTGGGCCGGATATATCCGGTCCACAGGTGGCCCACATTCTTTCCTTTGTCGATATTTGAGCGAGTTGGATGCGAGACGGATGTATTCGGTCCCTAGACGGCCCACATCCTTTACGTTGCAATATTGAAGCTTATAATCCTTACTCTCTGTGCGGTCCACAGGCGACCCCCCTCTCTCTCTCCGTGTGTGTGTGTGTGTGTGTGTTTCTTCCCGCGTTGTGCTTGGCGGGCCCCCCCCCCTGTCCCCCCCCCCCCCCCCCCCCCTCTCTCTCTCTCTCTCTCTCTCTCTCTCTCTCTCTCTCTCCAACTCTCTCCCTCTCTCTCTCTCTCTCTTTCTTTTTGTGGAATTTGTGGCCCGGATCTATTCGGCCCACAGGCTGCCCATAAGTTCTCACATGGAATGTTTAGGTTCAGTTCAGCTTGATTACTCTCTCTCTCTCTCTCTCTCTCTCTCTCTCTCTCTCTCTCTCTCTCTCTCTCTCTCTCTCC